TTTGGTTACCACAAGTGTGCATTGTTCTCTTCACATTGGGGGAGAGGCGGACCAGGTATTAAACCCATTCACTGGTCAGATTTGACCAGGGCAGGATGGTACTGCTCTGGGGTCCTAGGCTGGGAAGCTGGTGGTTAGAGAGCCTGTGTGTAACTGCAGATGGCGGTGTCTCTACCTGTATGAATGCTGGTGAAAGTGCAGGCCAGAGGGCTTTGCAGCTTATCACAGTAGTACAGTGTGAAAGGGAGCCCAGGCTGGTAGGTAAGGGGGCTCAGTGGTACCCCAGTTTCAGGTGGCACCCCAGGGGGAACCCGTCACACCCACAATATTTTATTTTGGATTAAAAAGACCCACACATTTTATACTGTGACACAAATGTATGATTGTTGCTTGCAAACATTGCTTTAATCAGATCAAATGCTTTTGATTAGTTGTATATTAATCACAGAGAATCACACAGACTGTAAACAGGGACTGGAGTCCTGGTCCATTACTGAGGCTTGTAAGTATTACCACAATGCAAAGGAACAACTGCTGTCCATTAACACAGAGCAGGTGATCAATGGAATGAAATGAATCTTAAAGTATTGCATACTAAAAAATTACCAGCAGTACAATCCAGCTGCAACCCCTTCTGTATTTCAGTTTTACTGGAATGTGAGATGGAGGTATGTCATCGTTTAGAGGACTTTTTTCGTAAGGATGGAAAGACTCTGGGAGATGAGAATGTTGTGTTTTCTTAGGAATATATTATGCTCTGCAGAGGAAGCATGTGATAAAAATGTTGCTATGGGAACTATTCTTTATTACATAAATGTAAATTGTCAGGTTTTAGATAATCAATGTAAAAAAACATAAATGACCCAAATTAGATTTCAAGTTATACACTGGCTTTCCAGAATTTTGTCCTCTGATTCGCTTTATGAATAAATGATTTGCTTTCAAACAAAATTACTTGAACAAGCTTTAAGAACCACATACACAAGCATCAGCTTCACCCCACTCTCTTAGAAATGTCAGAACTTAAGAGAAGTTGTACAGTCAAAACTCTGCTCCCATTTTTCCTCAGGCTGGAATTAGCCCAGATTTACACTGGAGAAACTAGGCGCAGAATATGGCCCGAAGAGCTGATTCACTGATTAAACACATGCCAGGTTTCTTGGAGAAAAACATTAGACCAATTCTCTATCTTCTATCTCACCACAGAGTGATGGAATCCTTCCCACTTTGGAACAAGTCCTCAGACAGCGGTTCACAAAACAAGGATGTTTTCCCCACTAAAGAATTTCACCAGTATTTGCTCACCTCCCACTTCACCCTGCCCCTCAACCTGCACATGGCTCAATACAACCAGCACCACCCTCTGCTAAGGTGAACTGGATGAGAGTCTTACTTTAGCTAGCAAGACTCACCAAGAAGGAAAGTTGAAGTAACTTGCTCAAGACCATAGACTCAGCATCCGAGTCAAGATTCAAACACAGTAGCACCTGACAACTCAACCCTGTATCCATAAAAATAGCACTTGTAACTTATTATTGTGAAGACATGATGTATTTTACTTCTCCAATCTAAATGTATCTAACTCCAGAATACATCAGGAAAATACATCTGTAGTCCAACACACCAAGCTAGAAATCACCAAAATAAAGTGGGATTGGATAATATTGGTGTGTAACCACCCACTTCCAAATTAGCTTAATCACTGCTGTCAGCAAGGCATGCTTGAGTGAACTATAAGATCTATATCATAACCGTAAACATATGGAAAGAAGAGAAGAGGCTCTTTTATTCATCTAGATTGTGTCTTTCTCTAAAATACAGCAAACTAAGGCCACAATCCTATCGATAGTTGGGCACATGAGTAGCCACACTGAACTTAATGCGACTTCCCACAAAGTGTGACAAGTTACTCATGGGCCAGATTTTCGAAGAGCTCAGCTCCTGCGTAGACACCTAAATGATATGGAAGTGGAAAGCTGGACCCAGTTGTGAGTACTGAGCAGCTTGTATTTACCGTTTTCACTATGACAAGGTTAGAGGGATTGCCCGCTACATCCCACAATATATGGAAAGTGATAATTTGATGTACTGTATCCTCATCTAGGAGGAAGGATTGTCCCATGGTCAGGACACTAGCCCAGATGTCTCAAGACCTAGGTTCAAGTCCCTGCTTCCACCACAGACCTCCTGCATGACCTGCCCCAGTCATACAGGTAGCTAAGGATCTGGGCTCATCTGCTCTTTTAGGTGCCTAAATCCACCATTTAGGTGCCACATACATTCTCAAAGCCACCACTCGGCTGCTGATTAACCTTGTGGGCAGCAAAGTTTACACTGGTAGGCAGCTTTTGAATGCCAAACTGCTGGTGTTTCCCCTTAGCTAACAAGCTGCTCAGAGCCAGAGGCCCCAAAGCAAGATTCTCAAAGTACACAGGGGAACGTCTGTCTCACCAGCAGGCCCAGTCTGAATGCATCTAGGACCAAATATCTGCAGCAGGAGAGCCAGATGCAGGACACTAATAGGTTGAAGGGCAGCAAAGCACAAAAAGCAAGCAGGACAGGAATTTTTTGACAGAACTCTGCTCGTGTGTACGTCCAAAACTAAGACCTCTCTTCCTCTGGTTTAGAGAGAACATCATCAGAGAATGCTCAAAATTAAATTTTTCTATTCGAAGGGTCATGCCTACTGTATATATTATACATATATTTGGCAGAATTAGATTTTTAATTTCAATTGATAATAACAAAAATAATTCAAAATAAATATAGGTATCAATTTGATTTTCTGCAGTTGGGGGGAATTATGGGATGAGAAGGTGTCAGAATTTTTTTATGACAGTAGATGTTGAGATTCAAAAAGTTATAGCTTTATCACTGGTAAAGCACAAATTGATATATCACATATCAAAATGTACAAAGTAAATATCCTTAAATCAAACTAATAAGCTCTTAAGCAGTACTTTTCTTACTTTGCTACCTGCAAATTTCAATTATTGATATACATATTTGTAGATGTGTGTGTACAGTGAAATCAATGTTTACCAACATTCACTGATAAAAAGCTAATCCTTCCAAGACTAATTATACAGACTGTGCAGATTCCATCAACATGAGAAAATTATAAGCAGTATCATATGTTAGCTGTCAGAAGACTGCACTGTACAAACTCCATGCACCACTTATGGAAAGTTCTCCTTTTATACTTCCTTGAGTGTCTGTTTTTCTGTAACACTATTTATATACCAAGTAAATATAGATCCAAAAGATCATAACTGTAATAAACCAGCAAAAACTTTTAGATATCCACAGAATCTTTCAAATAAATTCCCATGTGATAACCCTCAGTGTAAAGCTTCAAACTATGAACGATTCGGAGTCACTGAATTAATAATGCAAGGGCTGTTCGTATTGGCATACAACAAAAACCAGAAGGCATTCTAAACTTCTCATAAGAAAAGGGTAAGTACATCCAAAAGAAAAATCTATTCTCAGAACCCTCCCACTCCCCACCTTGAACCACCTTCTAACTAGGTGCATATTTTATACAATAAGAAGTATGTTTTGCAGCCTGAAAGGCTGATTAACTGCAGCTTTTAGGTAGCTTGCCATTCTTTGATACCCAGAAGAGAGACAGCAACACCGTATTCTCAATACTACTAATGGGAATTAATCACATAAGAGGAGAATGAAAGCCAAAAGATGTTCCATAAGGAATTGGCCTGCTTACATTATATGCATCACACCCACATTTAAATCCATAAACGTTTCACAATAGTAACCAAATGCATATTTGCAAAAGAAAAGGAAGGGGCAGACAGAAGAAAAAAATATCAGAAAGTATAAAACTATTGTGCACCCCCCAACTCAGTGAGAGCATTTTAGAGAGTGTTTTAAGACTAGTACAAATCTCCCTCCCCTCCCCAACACACCTGAGCTTTTAAATCACAAATGCAAACTTTTAATGTGCAAATGGTCAGTCGGTAGGAATACCCAGTGCATGTGGCATCAACACAGCTGCAATTGCAATCCCAGGTGAGATGAATGGTTTTGACAGCCACAAAATGTTACTGAATTCAAAAAGGCACGAGTTTGCATTGCAGGAAGTAAGGTCTTGTCTACATGGGGACATTCAGGGAAATTAATCCTAATTAACTAAGGGGGTGAATTTAAAGTGGCTTAGTAAATCTGTGTGTGGATGCTCTTTCTCAGAATTAAAGTGGCCTTAATTCAGTTTATTAATCATTAAGGCCACTTTAATTCTGAGTAAGAGCATCCACACAAGGGTTTAATGGGAGTTAACTAATCCACTAAATTCACACCTTTCGTTAATTAGGATTACATTTTCTGAGTTTCTCCCTGTACACAAGCTCTAAAAATCAGTCACACAGGCCTTCCGATAGCATCCTAGAGAAAGTTTTAGTTAATACCCCTCCACATATGTCACTGCTCCCTGCCCCCAGTGATGCTCAACAACTCCCCCAAACACACATCTGTTTTAAAAGACGCCACCAAAAGCCAAGCCCACCCCCTATTTCAGAAGCTATCTTCCCAGTTCAGATTACTGTCAGACTCTGATCCACCGTCCTTGCCACCAAAAGCCTTGCAGCTCAACTGCAAAGTTGAGTGAACTAGAGCCCTTTGGCAATGGAGATCTTGCTTGTGTTCCTAAGCAGAACACAGTCCAAGTTCTGGTCTGCCCTTTCCCCAAAACCAAAGTGCATCTGTTCAGCGAGCAGCCTATTGCGCTGCACCTCAAGCTGTTTCTATATTTGTAGTGTGCAAATGACACAGTAGCGATCTGGATTGGGAGCTGAAGGCAACATTTTTTTTTTGATTCCCCCCTGAGACAGCCACCGAGCAGTTTGCAAAAGAAATAACAATCGGAGCCCTCGCGCATGCTGTCTCCAGCCCTGGCCAACGAGAATGCTAAGGCATGTCACACTGAACCACCAAAAGAGAAAAAGAACAAACAAACAGAAAGGGAAAGCACAAATACTTACACCTAAACGTCTGCTCCTAATCTTTACATACCCTTGCTTCACTATGTCATTAAAATTGGAAGCCATCCTTTTTGTGGGGAGGAGCCGCTGGCCCAAGTTGAATCCAGTCTGTGGCTGAAATGATTCACCAAGCCCACATCCCCTGGAATAATCCTCCTGACCCAGAAACTCAGCGGCAAGAGTTTTAATCCACTTGGGAGAGGGGGGAAGAGGCTAGAGGACCCCCTCTGCATCAGCTGACGGCGCTGCCGACTGGAATGAGCTCAGCTCAGCTCAGCTCCTCTCCTCTTGCAGAACAGCGGGATCCGCCCTCTGCCTTCCTCCCCACCGGGGCAGAAAGCCCCCGGGCCAGCGCACCTAGCAGGGGCTGCACCTGGAGAAGCAGCAGTCCTGGTTGTTCACAGGGGGAAGCACCGGAAAGTTGCGGGGGGATCCCAGGGAGAATTATGGTCGATGCAAGAGAGACAATGAGAGCGGGGGTGAGAGAAAGCCTGGTGGAATAGGGCTGGCTGAAAAACGTTGCTGCTTTGTGAGTTGCTCTCTGTCTCCCGTTCCCTACATGTTCTGCCCAGCCCCTTTAAATACATACACACACTCTGGACTGACTTAGCTTTCCTGCCTGTTCTTTTTACTCGTCCTTTTTATTTTCTTCACTACCTATCTTCACCCTTATTAAGTCTATTTCTATGCTCTGCGGCAGCTGTCCCAGTTTCTTCTGTCTCTTCCCCTCTTTCACCATCATCTCAGTTGTGTTCACCCCTTCTCATTACCCATGTTTCAGTCTCTCTTTTCCCCTTTTATAGGGCTGAGCATAGGGTTGCCACCTGTCCGCGTTTTACCGGGATAGTCTGGTTTTTGGGTGCTATGTCCGGGTGCCCTAATTAGGGTTGCCCAGTTTTCGTCTGGAAAGTTCGGTCAAAAAGGGGACCCTGGGAGTGTCCAGTGAGATGTACTGACCGGCCACCAAAAGACCGTTTACCGTGGGGTGGGAGGGTAGGGTGACCAGACAGCAAATGTGAAAAAATGGGACGGGGGTGGGGGCTAACAGGAGCCTATATAAGAAAAAGACACAAAAATCGGGACTGTCCCTATAAAATCAGGACATCTGGTCACCCTAGGGTGGGGAGGCACTGGGTGATTAACTCACGCCAGCCCCTGCTCAGCCAGGGCCACCTCCTACCTGCGGGCAGGCTCCTTGTCAGGCTGTATCAGCTCCCATCCCAGCCCCGAAGCAGAGGGAGTCCAGCTGAGGAGTGGGAGTGGAGATGATCCGGGGGGGGGGGGGAGAGAAGTAAATGAGGGGGGCAGGACCTTGGGGCGAAGAGGTGGAGAAGGGGGCAAGGTGATGAGCTCAGGTGTAAATCTATAGCACTCTGACCACTTGGAACAAGGTACTTTAGTTAGAAGTTCTGGAGCATGCTTTGACATACTGCTGTTTGAAACAGGTCATAGTATGTCAAAGCACGGTACAGAACTTTTCATGCCCAGTATCAGGGTCCACAGGTCAACATGGTGCACAGCAAACTAGTGCACTGTATCATCATACCCTGACATGCCACACATTGAGCCACAGACAAGCCCGCCCTCACACACACCATGGCAAGTCATTTATTGGGAGCAAAAAAAAAATTGGACATCACCCTTAAAACCACTGAACGTGATACTGTCCTACAATATTTCAGCATGTACATATAATTCCCTGAGTATAAACGGACATGCTGTTTTGGGGCCTGATTTAAAGTCCATGGGAGATAACAAAAAGACTCCAAAGTGCATTGGATCAGGCTCTTAGCCTGTGTGTGTGTGTGTGTGTGTGTGTGTGTGTGTGTGTGTGTGTGTGTGTGTGTGTGTGTGTATGTGTACCAAGTGTAAGATCCACATAAGAAAGGACCAGTGCTCAATAACAGGGGCTGTCCTGCAATTCTCAGGACAGGTGGTGGTGACCTGTGGTTTTCTGCAGGAAGGTGCATATCCCAGAAAGTCTCTTGGCTGCCTCAACAGGCGTCAACTGGCACCACTCCAGACTCTGACTGAAAGTAACCTGAGCCTTGGCCCTGTGGAAGTGGTAGAAATGTCACACAGACATATGCCACTTTTACTCTGGCAATGTGTGACTGTCCCGATGAAAAAAACTTGGCTGGCATTGGGCAGCATGCTGCAGCCGGTGGATAGTCATTGTTTTCGGATGTTTGCAAGCACTGCTGAGCATAACAATGAACCAGGAAAGGGAGAACTTCAGGCACCCCCACCACTGTTGTTGAAATGACTTATTCATACACCCCATTGCTGGGGAAGGAATTGCTCACTGTGTAAAACTGGACATTTTTAAAAATGCATCCTTTACTACCTGTTAACAGTTCTGAACACAGGCACCTATTGTCTGGGTAGGAGGATACTCAAATACCTATCCCTTTTAGACTGAGACTGCCGGCTTACTGCAATGACATCCTTCTTATAGAGGAGCTGGGCAGATGGCTACAAGGTAGACCAGGAAAGAGTCACTGAAAGCCAGAGATCAATAGTAAATGTGGAATGTACCTTCTAGGTATGTAACTAAATTCTTCAGGCAGGGATTGCTTTTTTAATGTCTATTGTACAGACCTAAGCATACGGTTGGCACCAAACCAGCAACAAGTTGGCCAGTCACATAAGGTTTTATAATTTCACTGAGAGCCATGGAAGCAGTGAGTGTAGGCATGTGGTCTCCCATCTGGGCCTGTAGCCCTGTAACTATGAGTTGCTTTTATAGGCATCTCCATTAAATGCAGCTGATGGGACCAGGGACAGAATGCTGGTATATTTTAGGGAGTCAACTCCTGCTTTACCTACTACCTCACATACAGTTTTGTATTGGGAAAGGCAGGTCCTAGGTCATGCTATTTTCTCCACAGTGATAGTCCGCTTCTCTACTCCATATCCTACATGGACTAATTCATGGACCCACCTTTTGCTAAAAGAACCAAAAAAGTGCCACCGTGGCTAAACGACAAAGTAAAAGAAGTAGTGAGAGGCAAAAGGGCATCCTTTAAAAAGTTACATCCTAGTGAGGAAAATAGAAAGGAGCATAAACTCTGGCAAATGAAGTGTAAAAATATAATTAGGAAGGCCAAAAAAGAATTTGAAGAACAGCTAGCCAAAGACTCAAAAAGTAATAGCAAAAAAAATTAAGTACATCAGAAGCTAAACAACCAGGAGGGCCACTGGACGATTGAGATGCTAAAGGAGCACTCAAGGACGATAAGGCCATTGTAGAGAAACTAAATGAATTATTTGCATCAGTCTTCATGGCTGAGGATGTAAGGGAGATTCCCAAACCTGAGCCATTTCTTTTTAGGTGACAAATCTGAGGAACTGTCCCAGATGTCATTAGAAGAGGTTTTGGAACAAATTGATAAATTAAACAATAAGAAGTCACCAGGACCAGATGGTATTCACCCAAGAGTTCTGAAGGAACTCAAATGTGAAATTGCAGGACTACTAACTGTAGCCTGTAACCTAGCATTTAAATCAGCTTCTGTACCAAATGACTGGAGGATAGCTAATGTGACGCCAATTTTTTAAAAAGGGCTCCAGAGGTGGCCTTGGCAATTACAGGCCGGTAAGCCTGACTTCAGTACCAGACAAACTGGTTGAAATTATAGTAAAGAACAAAATTGTCAAACATATAGATGAACATAATTTGTTGGGGAAGAGTCAACATGGTTTTTGTAAAGGGAAATCCTGCCTCACCAATCTACTAGAATTCTTTGAGGGGGTCAACAAGCATGTGGACAAGGGGGATCCAGTGGATATAGTGTATTTAGATTTTCAGAACGCCTTTGACAAGGTCCCTCAACAAAGGTTCTTAAGTCATGGGATAAAATGCATTAAGCAGTCATGGGATAAAAAGGAAGGTACTCTCATGGATTGGTAACAGATTAAAAGATAGGAAACAAAGGGCAGGAATAAATGGTCAGTTTTCAGAATGGAGAGAAGTAAATAGTGGTGTCCCCCAGGGGTCTGTACTGGGCCTAGCCCTATTCAACATATTCATAAATGATCTGGAAAAAAGGGTAAGCAGTGATATGGCAAAATTTGCAGATGATTCAAAACTACTCAATATTTTAAAGTCCCAAGCAGACTGTGAAGAGCTACAAAAGGATCTCATAAAACTGGGTGACTGGGCAAAAAAATGGCAGATAAAGTTCAGTGTTGATAAATGCAAAGTAATACACATTGGAAAACATAATCCCAATTATACATATAATATGATGGGGTCTAAATTAGCTGTTACCACTCAAGAAAAAGATCTTGGAGTAGTTGTGGATAGTTCTCTGGAAACATCCACTCAATGTGCAGCAGCAGTCAAAAAAGCGAACAGAAGGTTGGGAATCATTATGAAAAGAATAGATAAGAAGACAGAAAATATCATATTGCCTCTATATAAATCCATGGCATGCCCACATCTTGAATACTACATGCAGATGTGATTGCCCCATCTCAAAAGAGATATATTGGAATTGGAAAAGGTTCAGAAAAGGGCAACAAAAATGATTAGGGGGTATGGAATGGCTTCCATATGAGGACCAATTAATAAGACTGGGAATTTTTAGCTTGGAAAAGAGATGACTGGGGGGGGGGGGGAGGATATGATAGAGGTCTATAAAATCATGACTGATGTGGAGAAAGTAAATAAGGAAGTGCTATTTACTCCTTTTCATTACACAAGAACTAGGGGCCACCAAATGCAATTAATAGGCAGCAGGTTTAAAACAAACAAAAGGAAATATTTTTTCATACAATGCACAGTCAACCTATGGAACTCCTTGCCAGAGGATGTTGTGAAGACCAAGACTATAACAGGGTTCTAAAAAGAACTAGATAAGTTCATGGAGGATAGGTCCATCAATGGCTATTAGCCAGGATGGGCAGAGATGGTGTCCCTAGCCTCTGTTTGCCAGAAGCTGGGAATGGGCAAGAGGGGATGGATCACTTGATGATTACCTGTTCTGTTCATTCCCTCTGGGGCACCTGGAATTGGCCACTGTCGGAAGACCGGATTCTTGGCTAGATGGACCTTTGGTCTAACCCAGTATGGCCATTCTTATGTTCTTATGATGAGAAACAAGTTCTTCAGATGAGAGAGCTCTCTAATTTTGACATTTTGTATGATTGCTATGAAAGCAGATGATAGTAATGGTAATACCATGGTAATATTTTCTACATAACCCGCGGCTCTGTCTTTTGATGATCCAAGATTTTTTTTTTCCCCACTGAGATTCTTAAGGCCAGAAGAGGACATCATGATCATCTAGACTGGCCTCTTGCAGAACACAGGGAATAAATACATTTTCACCCAGTAATTCCTGCAAATGTCCACAACTTTTGGTTGCACTAGAGCACATCGCATAGAAAGACATCCTAACTTGATTTGAGAGGAATCTTAACTTGGTGTTAGAAGAGAAGATATAACACACACTGAAAAGAATTTGACCTTGCAAGTGTTCCTTTATTCCTGACTGGTTGTCTCTTATATGATATATGGAACTAAGCT